TTTAAATTATTGATGAAATGCTTTGAAACTCACATTATAAGTATATATTAGAAGCATAAACAAAATGACATGGTCAAAAAAGTAAGATCTCACGCGCATGCTCCTGCGCTTCGCTCTGATTGGCTGAAACTAAAGTCTCAATATCTTTCTTGTTTTTTGATGAAATCCTTTGAAATTTTAAACATAGGCATGTATTAGGATATCCTACAATAAGATGTATAGCAATTATCATGAAAACGCGTGCATGCACATGCGCTGCAATCTGATTGGCTTATGCTTTAAATAGCTATAACTCCCTTGGTTTTCAACCAAACAGGATGGGATTTGGAACATAGATAGATATAATGGACTTCTACAAGATGGTATAGTCATCATGCACATGCATACACGTGCGTGTACGTGCACTGCAATCTGATTGGCTGAAACTTTAAACAGCTATAACTCCCTTGGTTTTCAATCAAACAGTGTGGGAATTAGAACATAGATAGATGTAGTGGACCTCTACAAGAAAGTATGCCATCATGCTCATGTATGCACGTGCTTCTACGTGAAATGAGTAAAATCAAAAATACAGTTTAATGAGCGTATTTTTTTTTTATACTTTTGAATTAAATACTTTAATATTTAGTATATTGAAATATATAGATTGTATAGACAAGATGATATGGTCTTTACGCACATGCATTCACATGCGCACGCGTGGAATTCTAAAATTTGAATGAACTTGGTACTTTCTGGGTAAATGTTGTTAAAGCCTCAAATGCATAGAGTTTGTCTTATTTAATGAAGCTTACAGGGAATGTGGCACCAAAAGGAAGTTGGGGAGCGTTTGGGGAACATCTGTAACGGTCCCCGTTACAATTAGCACTAGTTCTTTTTGTTTTATATATTAATGAAATTTACGCAAGTAAGACAGTTAAAAAATATATTGACTCTGTATGATTTTTAGAATCAACAAGCCCATCGGACTTCTTGAATTTTGATTTTCACTGACCCGACATCAAAATTCACTGGCCTCGGTCTTCGGACCAGTGAGTTTTCGTGAAAACTGTTACTACATATTTCTATGTAAAACTTTGGTCGGCCATTTTGGCCCCGCCCTACCCCCGGGGGTCATGATTTGAACAAACTTGAATCTACACTACCTGAGCATGCTTCCATATAAATATGAATTATGGCTTTGTCATTCTTGAGAAAATTTTTTAAGAATTTTCCTATATATTTCTATGTAAAACTTTGGTCTGCCATTTTGGCCCCGCCCTACCCCCGGGGGTCATGATTTGAACAAACTTGAATCTACACTACCTGAGCATGCTTCCATATATATATGATGAATTATGGCCTTGTCATTCTTGAGAAGAAGATTTTTAAAGAATTTTCCTATATATTTCTAAGTAAAACTTTGGTCGGCCATTTTGGCCCCGCCCTACCCCCGGGGGTCATGATTTGAACAAACTTGAATCTACACTACCTGAGCATGCTTCCATATATATATGATGAATTATGGCTTTGTCATTCTTGAGAAGAAGATTTTTAAAGAATTTTCCTATATATTTCTATGTAAAACTTTGTTCGGCCATTTTGGTCCCGCCCTACCCCTGGAGGTCATAATTTGAACAAACTTGAATCTACACTACCTGAGCATGCTTCCATATAAATATGATGAATAATGGCTTTGTCATTCTTGAGAAGAAGATTTTTAAAGAATTTTCCTATATATTTCTATGTAAAACTTTGGTCGGCCATTTTGGCCCCGCCCTACCCCCGGGGGTCATGATTTGAACAAACTTGAATCTACACTACCTGAGCATGCTTTCATATAAATATGATGAATAATGGCTTTGTCATTCTTGAGAAGAAGATTTTTAAAGAATTTTCCTATATATATTTCTATGTAAAACTTTGGTCGGCCATTTTGGCCCCGCCCTACCCCCGGGGGTCATGATTTGAACAAATTTGAATCTACACTACCTGAGCATGCTTCCATATAAATATGATGAATTATGGCTTTGTCATTCTTGGGAAGTAGATATTTAAAGAATTTTCCTATATATATTTCTATGTAAAACATTGGTCGGCCATTTTGGCCCCGCCCTACCCCCGGGGGTCATGATTTGAACAAACTTGAATCTACACTACCTGAGCATGCTTCCATATAAATATGATGAATTATGGCTTTGTCATTCTTGAGAAGAAGATTTTTAAAGAATTTTCCTATATATTTCTATGTAAAACATTGGTCGGCCATTTTGGCCCCGCCCTACCCCGGGGGGTCATGATTTGAACAAACTTGAATCTACACTACCTGAGGATGTTTTCCCATAGTTTCATCTTTCCTGGCACAGTGGTTCTTGAGAAGAAGATTTTTAAAATATACCACTAAATTTTCATTAATTCCTAATTATCTCCCCTTAAATAAGGGTGTGGCCCTTCATTTGAACAAATTTGATTCCCCTTCACCCAAGGATACTTTGTGGCAAGTTTGGTTGAAATTGGCCCAGCGGTTCTTGAGAAGAAGTCGAAAATGTGAAAAGTTTACAGACAGACAGACGGACAGACAGACGGACAGACGGACGCCGGACAAAATGTGATCAGAAAAGCTCACTTGAGCCTTCGGCTCAGGTGAGCTAAAAACAGAGAAAACTTGTCTTATCTAATAATGTGAACATCATCAAAGCAATGACTTCAAGTTTTCCTTCATCAACTTTCCTTATTGTTAGCAATTAACCCCATTGCCTGAATAGGTAGTTTTTTTTTATAATCTGTTCCAAAGAAATTGGCAGGATTAAACAACATTCTGTGTGAGAAAATTAAAATATAGAGGGACTTTAAGTTTACTTTGTACTGGACAATATTATGAAATATTGAAAATCCCAATTAGACAAGCTTTACTGTATTTATATGTCACAATTCAGAGATAACTGAACAAGGTACAGGGATAAATGTAGATCTCAAAGAAATATGTGTAGATAAATTTTACTAAAGAATTTACAGTATCTAATTGAATGTTCTGAAATAAATTTTGAAGGATCATTTTATTTACTAAACATGAAATGAAAAATATTGAAATTGCAGGTGAGGAAGAAAAATCCATACCATTTTGTCAAACTTGAGAGCTTCTTTTTCAGCTATCTGTGCCGTTCTTTCTTTGTTCATATAGGCTGATCGTAACTTTGCTTCTAGTTCTCTCAACTCTAGACTGTACAAAAAAGGAAAGCAACTTTAATGTAAATAGTCTCATTTCTTCGAAAGAAAATATTACATGAATTATTTTTACTGGGTTACCAGGTTACACACACAAAAAAAATATTTAAATATTTTGCTGCACTAACTGGAAAGCAATTTTTAAAATCACTATCCTGACAATTTCAAAAGGTTTTATGAAATAGTACGCCTTAAATATTTAAGTAATAAATATAACGACTTTAGTACACTACCTTGTTTCTCTGATCTGTTGTCTCATTTTCTCGTCCCTGATGGAATCTAGTTTCCGTTTCTCCAGCTCTGCAGCCAGTCTTTCTTCATGGAGTAACTGTTCTTCTCTGATTAAGCGATCTCTCTGGGCCTAAAATATTAAGCAAAGAACATTTTACAAATTCTGGATGTTATTAATTTTCGGTCACAAATCAAATTTACCAATTGATGTAAATAATGATTTGTAAATTTACTGATGCATTTTTTCATCCACATTAACACATTCAAGAACATTGCTTAAAAACCCTCACACTTCAGAGTAGGGGGATAATAAAGAGTTCAATCTTATATACCACAAATACAAGAATAAATACATGTTTAATTCTATAATTGTTTTCAAAATGACAAGAATGCCTTTCTCAATTTTGTTGCATTTTAAGTAAATTCATCAAGTAACTGAACATTTTAACCTTCAGGATTGCCTCCTCCATTTCCCTTTCCTTCTGCTCCATCATAGTACGCCTGATAAAACGTGTCTCCGAGATACGCTCCTCATTGCTCATGTTAGCCTCCAGTCTTTTCTCCTCGTGTAACCGACGAATCGTGTCTTCCCGATAATCTTCTTGTCTTCTCATGTTCTCTAACTGTCTTTCTCTCGCCCCTCCTGTCAGGGCTCGGCGCACAGTTGTCTACAAAATGGAACATGCAAGTTATTCACCATGTTCAAATAAGTTTAAACTATTACACTGACATTAGATAACTAGAATTATCATGTAGGCTAGTTGCAATTTATGAGAAAAAAATCCTGCTGAGGCATTGCTTGAGGGTAATTGGATAAAATCCTCATTAGATAAAGCATTTAGTGTCTGAAAGTTTGATTTTAATATGGCAAAAATTCTGTACAGGTCTGTGTTGAAAGTGAAACGAAAAAATATATTAGGCCATTTACATGAAACAACATTGAATGAACATGAAGCAAATCTCACAGTGCACCCTATTTTCGAAAGTTTTTCCTTCGAAAAGCATCACAACTGCAAAATTTACATTCTAGAATAACTTTAAATAAAATTTCATCACGTAAATATTTGATTATTGCTTAAAATACTTACCATTTTAGCTATAAATTTAAATTTTCACTTCCAAGTGTAATAAGTCGATATGCTCTCAGTGTATTTGTGTTTGCACTTGGACTCGTCTGTTGCTAGGTTGGAACAGACTTGTCTTGCTGTAACAAAATTTTTTCCTGAATCTTTAGACTGATGTATGACAGATTGAAACTTTTTTTCTTTATTATTGTTGCATGGAAAATGAACAATATTAAAAGATTATTTGGAAGCCATAAAACTCCGTGAATTAAATGTTTAAAAAATAACCTTTCAAACCTTAATGGATGGTTCCATTTTTTCAAAAAAATTAAACATTCTCGGAACCGGATAAAAACGGAAGGATATTCCATGTATACTAAAGAGATCTTGCTATATTCGTCGATATACATTCTTTATTTATTATTTTATGTTGTGGATATTTTGTTTATATTTTTGCCCTGCTCATAATTGAAAAAATATTGAATACCTAAAAGTTAACTTTGGATCGACGAGAAATAATCCCGACGGCTAAACGGAAGTAAAAACATTTCAACCGGTGTCGAAAAGGTAAACTGCAAACAGAAAGGAAACTAACTGCAAACAATCCACAAAAATCAAACTACCGACCGACCATCGGTGTAAATTGTCCTAATTACTGGTAAGAAAAAAGTATGTACTTTATTTTGAAATCAATAAGGACAGGTTCTCTCCAATATTTATAAACTTTTGCGGAGAGAGAATTTATCCACCCTTAGGATCAAATGTCAACTTAACCCGAATTGCCTTTTATCAACAAACCAAGTATATTCATTGTTTATTGTTCGTTTGTTTTCACAATTATGGCAAACATTAACAATATTATAACAATATTGCATATCCAGAATAGTTATTGTTTAGTTTTAGAATATTTTTCAGGTGGGCTTCAACAGGAAAAGGGATAAAATGGCAGTCCCAGCAAAGATCGTTTTGAAGAGCGGGACAAAGATGTCCCTGAATGACAGGTGAGGGGAGTTGTAGACCCTGGAGAAGGGGGAGAGTGTCTACAGCATGTAAGGAGGGTGTTCCCTGGTGGAGAGACCCTCTGAATCGTGTAGGAGAGGGTGTGCTAAATGTCACTTATGAGTGGTCATGCACAAAAGTTTGTTACAGTAGAAAACAGACTTTTTCTCCAAAACATAAACACACCCTTTTCATAGGGTGTCGAAATGCATGAAACGAAATTATTAGATTTAACTTTTCTTTTAAATAAAGAGTGTACTATGAAAATTGGAAATTTTACAAATTTTAAATCAGAATATTTGACTTGTGACAAGAAAGATGGTTTGTATTTTATGTGCTTTCTTTGAATTTTTTTTCTGGTGTTAAAATAACTGCATGATGCAATTTTGAAGATTTATCGTAATAGTTTCACAATAACATGTAAAAGAATGGTTGGCTCTAGTAAGGCATACTTCACAATAGTGACATTGAAAGCTATCATTAGCACTGCCCTAGTAAGGTAAATATCCAAATTTATTTGGAATACCTTGCAGTCATGGGCAAAACTAAGACCTGAAGAAAGGCTTGTGTTTACACAATCATATGAAAATAATGAAGAAAAGGTTTTAAAAAAAAGCAATAATGGATATGCTTTGCAGTAATGAGCTAACCTACATGTATATAAAAAAAGCATGGAGAAAAAGTCAATAAGAATTAAGTCTTGCAGTGATGGGTGTTATCCCTAGTAAGACTAATGCACCCTCTCCTTGTAATCCCGAAGATTTACCAACATTGTCAAGACGCCGACGTCGCCCACCTCGCCCCAGGCGATCCGAGCAAGAATGGCGGAGGCCCAGCAGGCATCCTCAGCCAATCGGAGGCTAGCTCAGCAAATGGCAAACAGACCTACCGTACAGGCAGCACTGAAAATCAAAAAGGTGAGTGACCAGCTAGGACTTCAGTTGGACAGTTTTGGTAAAGAAGGCAGCTGTGAGAATTTGAAAAATAATGACATGAGAAGTTGGGGAAATGAACATGAAAAAAGAAGAAGGTATGGTTTCCATACAAATTTTGCCCTGTGATTTTCTAAAAAATGAAACTGGTGTAAAATTTAAAAACTCATGCTTTTTAAATAATGGAAATTCAATGCAGAAAAATCATACAAGTCATTTTTCTCACATGTGTTTTGAAATGCTAATTATGACGTCATAAACATGTGCATTTTCCCGTATTTTCTTATTAAAAAGTTGCAGAAGGTACCAATTTTTAATGGAATTTTCTTTCAGATAACATTGTTCACAGGCATCGCCCACAAAGATCTTGAGATATGTGATTTGTTATTGAATTTTACACAAAATATCAAAAAAATAACGTGAGCGACGGCTGTGGACACTGTTTTCTAAAGGAAAATCAGCCTTGAAATGTGCCATTTTGAGGCTTTTTCTATTGAAAATGGAGAAATGCTTCACATTAATGACGTCATATTTGCAGAATGGTAAACCTTCATGCCATATTTTTTCCTGATTTATCAGAATCATTTAACTAATATTTAAGCCAGTTTCAAAACTTTTTGATATTACATTTTTAGGGCGCCAAAATACTAAAAGCATACCTTCTTCTTTAAAGATGAAATTTCCCCCCTAAAAGAGAAATCACATATAGTTTTTTGATGATGCCTTTGGAAACTTTACAATTAGTAATGCCAAAATAACACCAACACCAGTTAGAAAAAAGTTTGTATTATGGGGTCAGTGTCATTGATTCATTTATAAAGTTTTTATAAAGATTTGCACTAATTAAAAGAAGAGGCCTGGTCTAGGATGACACTGTTTACAGTGAAAAGTGGAATTAAAAAATCTATTCAATTCTTTTGTCATAAGTTTCAAGATTCCAATTTCTTGTACAAATGTATGCATGTATTGATTCAGAAGATTTTTATACAGGAATTGAAATATTTTAACCCATTGTAGACCAGCTTGAAGCAGCGTTTGGGTAGGACTAATGTGAAGGCCAGGTTAAATCTGAGTGCTGTCAGAGGGCGGGGCCGTGGAGGAGGGGGTGGTGGATTCAACAGAGGACAGAGGGGTGGAGGACGAGGACAGAGAGGTGGATCCAGGGGCGGACCGGGCGGAGACGCAATGAGTCCTAGAGGTATTCACTAGTGAGAATATAAACTAATGTAGCTGTTGAAGTTAAAATCAAAATAACTTGATATTTAAAGTAAAACTGTAAAGACATTACACAAATCCTGACATTGAAAAATGTTTGATAGCAATACTGCATTTTCCAGATAGTGAGAATTTTTGAGCAGTTTTTTCATTTAACGTTGAACAATTTACATTGTTCAATTTAATAGTTTTGAAGTAATAGGTTCTACCTTAACTTTTCTTATAAGCTGACAAGTGACATACCTCAAGCTTAATTTGATTTTTGCAAAGGAAGTCTCAATCACTTCTACAACATGTTCAATCAACCCTAAAAAAAAGGTCTAAAATAGAGGTGGAGCTGTGATAGTATTCTTTTTCACAGTTGTGTAGAATGTTATAGGGCTGAAAACAAGGAATTATTTTATCTGGGAATAATTATTTTTCTGGGAATTCACCCTTTTCCTTTGAATAAATTATAAGGTGCCCTATTACCCCTTAGTTACTTAAAAAATAAAAATGGTAGTGACATTTATGCCTAAATGTAAGTGATATTACTTAGATGAAGAAAAATGTTTATATCACATGACTTTCATTATGTTTTGTACTTTCTATCTTTTTATCAGTTTCTATCTATATTTCTTTTTTTTCTTTCTTTCCTTTTTCTTTTTTTTGGTGTGTATAAATTTATTATTGTTATTCAATCTCATAAGTCTAAGATTTACTTCCGGTAGAAGGGGGGTGGGGTTAGCTTTTCAGTGAAAAGCTAACCCACCTTAGCTTTTCACTGAAAAGCTAACCCCCCTTAGCTTTTCACTGAAAAGCTAACTCTCAACGTAAATCCAAGTTTTGTTCCATTGCTGGCAGAAAAGGACACTGAAATTCGTAATTCCTCACCGCTAACTGTAGAATAAATCGTTAGAAACATCGTAGAAGCGATTATTCATCAAATGTAAGCTTAAAAATAAAACGACTGTAGCCCAAGATAGGCCATTGCGAGTTACCGATTTCTCTTCGCGAAAATACACAGTGATTACGATCGAGGCGTACAGAATCCTGTCTGATGTCGCGAAAGTTCGTAAATTCCCTGATAAGCAAGTTACAATAAGCCATAAGTCCGTATTGTGAAGCGTTATTTACATGACAAGTTCCAACAAACGATATCCATTACTGCTGAAGGTGGCGTCTCTGCGTCACTTCCTTATTCCATGACGTCATGTTCGCAGTGTCTCGGGTCTTTCCGGCGAGCTCGGAAAAACACGATTGACCTGAAGCATTGTTTATCAGACATGAAAAGCTGAGAATAAATATCAGCATGCTTATCTTTATAATTAAATTGTTCAAGTTAAAATACCCTTGTTAAAATAAGCAAAAATTAATTGCAGGTACCGCAAAGTGATGTAGATCTAACAGGTAATGAGGTGTAACGTTACATGAAGTGGAATAAGTTGTATTTGTTAAAATTTGATTAATTTGTTCCCAGTTTTAGAGTTTTTGTTGTTGTTGAATTTTTAAACTTTTTCCTGGTGGTAGATTGTTGGTGTATAAATGCATGGATTTTTT